CACCCAATATGGCGCTCCCCCTCTTCGGGGCTCGCCGCTGGGGCTCCGGGGTCTGTTCCCCGCCCGCAACCCACTGGTTGCGCTCAGAGGCCCCACACCTCTGGGGTCCCTGTGAGGCCTCCTCCAACCCCTACAGCCTCACCCAAGCCTCCGGTGTAAGTGACGCCCTTGCTGGCATCTGCTGCGCCTGTCCTAGGCTCCTCACCCAAAATGGCACTCCCCCTCTTCGGGGCTCGCCGCATACAACCCGGGGTCTGTTCCCCGCCCGCAACCTACTGGTTGCGCTCAGGGGCCCCACACCTCTGGGGCCCCTATGAGGCCTCCTCCAACCCCTACAGCCTCACCCAAGCCTCCGGTGTAATATGCAAGCCTGAACATAAACTAGAGCCTCCTGGCTAAACCATAGTGCCCCATCCTCTCAGGGCTATAGTGAGCTGTACTTGCAAGTCAGGCCTCTTGCTACATCTCAGCCGAGGGAGCTCCTGCCTCTCCGGCTGCTGGCAGGAAACTGCCAGCCTGGTCTTAGCCCTTGGCTTTATAAAGGCCAGGCCCCGCCTCCTACAGGCAGCTGGCTCCCCTTAGCTGCCCCGGCAACCCGCAGCTGGGCTCGTTACCCTGGCGACACTCAGCTGGGCTCGTTATGACCTGCCAGGGCTCGCTCTCCCTGGCAGTTTCTACTCCCTAGGAGCAGAGCTCCGAGGTGCTCTGCGACACACTGCTTTTTTACCTCATGACAGGACCAGCCCTACAAATATTCCCAGCCTGAGGACCACCCAATGCCCCTGTCCTCAATCACTAGCAAACTGCAAAAATCAAAGTAAAATAAGAATGCAAAATTGTATTTTAATCAAAATTGTGCTGTATGAAAATAACAACTATATTTCATTAAGTTTTGGGTAAAAGTATTTGCTGTTGCCAAGTGAGCCATTCATTTTCTGGCCCCAAAATTTTCTTTCTGTGGATCATTTTCTCTAGAGGGCAAATTTAAACTTTTTACTAGTGACAAAATAGACCTATGTCAGGGGGAACACCACCCCCCCAGCAAAATATGGTACCCAACTGTTTTAAGTGAAAACTTGCAGAACCCTGTAGGTTTTTCAGACAATGGTCAAATACAGCACAGCATAAGCATGAGCATGAACATAAATGAATGTGAGATGTTGCTGCCTGGGGGCAGAGTTCCCGAAGAAGATATGGCTAAGTGCAGACAGTCAAAAAGCCAGAGGCTGTATCGGTTCAGTCTTTGCAAGTTAATTTAAACTGTGTAGACTGAACCAATAAGCAAGTGAGCAGACATTAACTTTTGATTCCAGAAATGCAGCCACATGTCTACGGTGGCTCAGGTCAGAAGCTGAAGGGTGCTAGAGCATGCCTCCCTGCTTGGCCGGAACAGACAGCCTGGACCAAGGCTAGCCACCCTGCAAGCGACTGTCTTGTCAGGTCTCCAATTCATGCTGGAGGGCTGTCTTCATCATGTCTCTAATCCAACCTTTCTATATGGGCTACTCCCAATATTCTGCACAGGTCACTGCTTCTGGTGTTGGAGTTGCTAGATATTGTGGGGTGCATTGTGGTGCTACAGGGCATCTCAGGAGATGATCCATGGTTTGCTTCTCCTGATAAACACATTGGTCGGTTGCAGCTGGGGGACTGTGAGTTAACTTAAATCTGGAGGGGATCTGGGACAAAAGTTCAATAAACCAACTTAACCTAAATCAAATAAGTCTGATACCACATCCATCCAGGTGTATTTTAAACCAGTTTCAGCCATTTTGAAAATGGTTTATGTGCATTGAACTTCTGTTGTGTTACAGAGCTGAACCAGTTTCTAATCACTTATACCGGTTTATGTGTCGTGTCTGTCCCTCGTCTAAGAGATCTACTGCTGCTATCAGCTAAAACATCTTTTCTTTTGTGTCACTGACAGAGACTTGAGGTTTTGGAGCTTAAGGATTTTTAGATTATTTAGTACAGTGATTTTCAATCAAACCCTGCGGTGCCTTTGAGATCCTTTCAGGGGTGCCATCAGGTGCCACATACTGTGCAAACAGTTCATAAGAAAAACTCAAGAGGTTTCAAGTAGGAATTCACAGTGTCAAAAACATTCTGACCTGTTGTGGTCTGAGTTCTTTGCAAGGGAAAAACTGCTCTATTATTTTTTGGTTGTGAAAGAAAGAGTGAAATCTAACATCTGGCATTTTCCAAGAGATCCCTTGAGTCTAAAAAAGGTTGAGAACCACTGATATAGTAACAGAGGCAGGGCCTTATCTCAGTTACGCTATTTTAAATTCAGAGAAACTCAGTCTACTTCAGTTGAGTTACTACACAGTTTCACTAATGTTTTGAGGTTAGGTACAGCCATGACACTTTTACCAGTATAAGAGATTGGAAATTGGTCTATACCCATAACAGGACAGAAGTGTGGTGCACAAACTGGTTTAAAAATGACAGAATCCAGTCTATATTTGAGCCCCTCCTACCAAAGGGCAATTGCGTGTTCTGTTTGCTATACATCTAGACCATGCTGCTTACAGAAAACCACTTAGCTTAGATTGATTCCACCTCAGACTTTTTGAATGTCTGTACCTAGCCTCAGAATACAACCTGGCCCAATTTTTATATCATTCAGAGCACAAGGATTTAGGATTTAGAACAATGGCATGATCACCACCAACTGACAGTACAATGGCAAGAATCAGTTGGGTTATGAGAGCCAACCAATCCTCAAGACTTAAAAAAAAACCCCCAAAAACCCATTCTTCTCCTCTATAGGCATTATACACATGGAGGATAAAGAGCACTTCATGAACAGGGACTGCTCAGACCCATAAAGCTGATGCACTCTTTCAGAGCAATTTTCAGGCAAAGGAAGTCACTAAAGGTGGGAATTCAAATGGAGCAAGTTACATAGAGACTGCCAGACCTGTTGCTGCTATTGCAAGGCTGTGTGTATAGAGTTAACAATAAGTCAGCAGCCAAGAAAACCAACGGCTCTTTGCAAGATAAACACAGAGAAATTACTTTCACTTTCTCAGTGTCACCCTAGGGCTACTGGCACACGCTCCCTCACTCAAAACTCAACTTGGTGCGGAAGTCCAAACACCCAGTGCAAAGGCCACCCATTTGTAGAAGGCAGGAGCTGGCTGTGAGAAACAGGTTCCTTTATTTTTCTTAATAAAATTGTGACAATTTGAAAAACTAGAACTAAGTATTACAATCAAGTTGGAATGTGCTGCATAAGGTGAAGCAAGTTACATATCTGGCAACAGGCAGAATGAGGACCAAGGGGCTTGTGGCCCTTTTGCGATGTGAGTTAGTGTGTAGGTATGTGTGTCCAGTGGTGGGGGGGTACTCTTACATAAGCCTTGTCGCACACTCCTTAGTTGCTTTTCCTGCTGCACTTCTGCCTCCCAGCCCTTGTCTTTGCAAGATACCCTGCACCCCTCTGGCTCCACCACAGTCCACTGACCATAACTTGCTGCCTCTTACACATTCCCTCTGAATATGGCCCATAAACTTGCCTTTGGGAAGGATGCAGCATCACACATTAATAAAGGGTCATCTCTTCCTCCAGGCCAGAAACCACTGCCAATGAAACCAAAACCCCACTGGGTCCACAAGAGCTGCTTTTCAGTAGCATTTCTTTTCTCTTTTTTGAGGGGTGGGAAGGGGTGGATACTTAAGAAAAAGCCAATGTTTGAATTCAGACATGGTCCATACAGGGATGGCTTTGTATCAGAAAATGCTGTGCCCTATTTATGGTACGTTTTAAACTAAACCCCCCACCATTGTGTACTGAATATAAGGTATTTGTTTTCTTTTTAGTAACAGTTGCCAGGACCCATTTCAACATAAAAACAAGAATCCTCTGAAGGTCATGGAGTGGCTAGTTTAGATTATTCCATGGATTTGGATTTCAGAAGATTTTTTGCAACAGAAAGGTTTTTTTTCCTCAAGCTTTTCAGCCTTCCTTGTTTCATTTTAGAAAGACAGGACAGATGGACAAACAATGGAACAAACTACAAGGAGATCGAGTACTTTCTCTATCTCTTGAGGTCTTTGAATTTAAAACAGGTGCCTCTCTGTAAGACAGAAGGAAGGTCCATCAGGCCAGCATGCTTAAGGCACACTATTTTCTTTGCCAATTGCATACAAGGGAATGGTATGGCCAGCATCACATTTAGTTGCATTTGACACCCAAGCTCCAAAGAGCAGGTCTTCCATTGACAGCTGGGATACAACTGGGGACAGCGTTGGGCATGAGCCCAAAGCAGGGCTTGAACTCACACCTCTGGAGCAATGGCAAAACATCTTAAGAGTTCTGACACTGCAGTCCTTCTGAACGATATACATCAGTCAAAAAACAAATGATATGGTTCAATCAAGAAGTAAGCAGCTGAAAGCTAATAGTCTCCAGTAGGGAGGAGTAGGACTAGGTGAGCAAAGTTACTTCTGGCCTTGAACTCCAGGCATCTATTTACAAATACAGGGAAATTAAGGGTTAAATTTCCAAAAGCAGCCTCCATTTTGGTTGACTCCACTTGTTGGTGGGGCTGGCTTATGGTGCTTCAAGGGTCCAACTGTCAGCTGGGCCAAGCATTTATGGTTTCCAAAGGAGATGGTGGATGCTGTAGCACCCAAAGACCTTTGGGCCTAATTCTACATGGCACAAGTGCAGCACAGAACTACTCCATCTAGTTCTGAGCAAGCTGGCCTGAGGACCAGAAGTATAGCTGCCTTAGTGGACCTTTGGTTGGGCTAACTAGAAAAGTTGAGAGACAGAGTATATAAGTCCAGGTGGAGAATCACACTTAAGAGCTCTGTGGGTCCTTGGATCCAAACAACCCAGTTCAGAGCTAGCGTAGGTAGTTCCACAGGACACTAGATTGTGCCATGTAGACATACCATAAAAATCAAGTCATAGGCATCCAGAGGGGCACCCAAAAATTAAGGCAAGTAAAATTAGAGGCCAGTTTAAAAAATCTGGGCCTCTGCAACATGTTAACAATAGCACAGTGACTAACAGCAGAGCTAGGACCAGTCACTTGAGCTCTTGCTCCACTCTGAAGTTCCAGCCATGAGACCCTCCCTCACCCTTTCAACAAATGAGTGATACTTTCTCTCTCTCTCTCTCCTGCCCCAACCAACAGATCAATACATGCTTTTTCCCCCTTATTAAACCAAAAAAAAGGAAAAAAGAAGTTAATCACTGAAAATTGCTCCTCAGCTACTTACCTGTTACACTAAAATCAAAACGACATCTCTGGATCTTGCCGCTGCTGCTGCTGTCACCATCTTCGGCCAAGATCTCCACCTCATACGTTCCAGCATCACCATCTTGTGCCCTTTGGATGGTTAAACTGCCAGACAATGAGTCAAGCCTTGCTCTACCACTCATGAAGGAACCATAATATTGGACTACCTGTCCACTCCATTCAGCCACTTTGTTGCTCTCCTTCTTCCATGTAATTTCTTTTATCTTTCCTTCAAATGTTGGTGAAAAAACATTCCTGGTTCCTAGAAAGCCAGATACCTTGACCTGACACTGGGCAAATCCTATGGAAAGCGGAAAAAAAAAAGTCATTCGCCTGCTGTTATCCAAGCTATTGTTCGTGTGACCCTGTATTGTTTACATAGGATATTATCTAAATATCGCAGGCTAAAAGAACATTGCTAGGCTGTACAGACAAGCATTCTATAATTAGGAAGCGCCAAAATCAAGCTTGTATCAGGGTAGCAAATTAAGGTCACATGGCATATGTAGCATGAGGCAGCCCCTGTCTTCCAGTCCCAGTCTGCTTCCCCTAAGCAGGCTCCTTGCCCTAATCTACTCCCCCATTCTACAGCTGCATTTAAATCAGATAGCCTGCTCCTCTCCGGCTGGTGTCCAAGCAACATAGAGGGACACTGCTATGGGCTCAGATGCTCCACATCATCCCACAGTAGCAACTGCAAGGGAAGTCCTGCTCAATCCCTACCTGGACCCTGTTCATTGCAGATTGAATCTTCCAATTATTTTAGCAGCAAATCTCTAATAGGTCTCAATGAAGCAGTTGGGAACAAGACTTTTCCAAAGGCTTATCACCTGGCCATATTTGGACAACTTTTCGCGAGGACAATGATAAAAGTACAGCTGCTGTCAAATTTCACGTGCATGTCCCACTTCATGGACATACTAGAATTTGCCCAAAAAAACCTGCAGTGATCTTTTCTAAACATAGGCAAAACAATGCGTTTTTCACAAGCCTCTTTCTCAGAAACAACCAATCCATCTTTGGCTCTCCCTTCCATGCCAGAAAGAAAAATTTGGAGGCAGACAACAAGTACAACGTAAAATTTTGTACCAAATGGGCACAGAAGTGGATAGCCGTTATAGTCTAAAGTCAGGCAGAAAGCAGGGCAGGGTGACACCTTAGAAACTAACTCATTCAGAAAGGCATGAACTTTCATAAGCAACACCCTATTGAGTTAAATGCTGACCATACCTAATGGTTAAAGCCCGACAAAGCAGTAACTAATTGAAACAGAGGTTTTAACACTAAAAATGTCAGGTAAAGATATTAGTGCTACCTATAATCATATATTAAATACATATGTATAACCGTAAATACACACATATCCAAACAAACTGTCATGTGCAGAAATATATTTCAACCAAAACAAAGATGAAACAATGGAGAGAAGCTGAAAATTGCATAACACAGATGCGCAAGAGACAGCAGAGCTTGATGCCATCTGATACAAAAGAGGTCCTGTATGACATGTGTTAGCCATTCTTTGCCACTTGCAGGGGCATAAATTCATAGATTTCATAGATTTCATAGACATTAGGGCTGGAAGGGACCTCGGAAGATCATCGAGTCCAGGCCCCTGACCAAAGGGCAGGAAGTCAGCTGGGGTCATAGGATCCCAGCAAGATAAGCATCCAGTTTCATCTTGAAGGTGTTCAATGAAGGCGCTTGAACCACCTCCGGTGGCAGGCTGTTCCAGACCTTGGGGGCTCGGACAGTAAAGAAATTCTTCCTTATGTCCAGCCTGAAACGATCTTGAAGTAGTTTGTGACCATTCGACCTCGTCATCCCTTGGGGCGCTCTGGTGAACAAACGTTCCCCCAGATACTGGTGGTCACCCCTGATAAACTTGTAGGTAGCCATCAGATCACCCCTGAGCCTGCGCTTTTCCAGGCTAAAGAGCCCCAGGGCTCTCAGCCTGTCATCGTAGGGTCTGCTTCCCTGACCTCTGATCATGCGCGTGGCTCTTCTCTGGACTCTCTCAAGCTTCTCCACATCCTTTTTGAATTGTGGAGCCCAAAACTGGACACAGTACTCCAGCTGCGGCCTCACTAAGGCCGAGTACAGTGGGAGAATGACGTCCCAGGATTTGCTTGAGAAGCATCTATGGATACAAGCCAGCGTTTTGGTCGCTTTACTAGCCGCCGCATCGCATTGCAGGCTCATGTTCATCTTGTGGTCAAAGATGACCCCCAAGTCTCTTTCTTCCATAGTGCT